GCTCCTCTTGCCAGGATGAGGAGGGTACTGTACGAGGATACGGAGTCACACCGCTCGTATCTGGCTGGACCCAGGCAGAGGGGTCCCAGGAATCCTCGTCCTGGGACGAACAGGATCGTGGACGAGTATACGGAGTGACATGTACATCTGCCTTTGCGTGTTCTTCTGTCTTTTCTGCATTTGTTACCTGACGGGTTTTAAGTAACCGGTTAAGAAGATCTCGTCCTCGCCCTCGTCCTCGCTCCTCTTGCCAGGATGAGGAGGGTACTGAACGCTCTTCTGTCCTTTGTGCATGTGATGCCTGGCGTGATTTACGAAGTGCTTCAAGCCTAATCTTACTATCTAAATCTTGGCCTACCATTTTATTTTTATATGGCTACTGTCTCTCTATCACGTTCATTCCTAATAGCCTGAACACGGTTTATTATTTCATCCGCTCGCCCTAATGTCGTCGCCGTCTGTGGTATTTGTGGTCAGCGTTGTGTTGTCACTGTTTCGGGCGTCGTCCTTAAGTGATCCGACCGAGACCTGATACTATCTCTGTTTTGATACTCCACCTACAACAAACAGCAACAAGATAGTAGCCACAGTTGATATGTAGGTAACATAAAGTTTATTCGAACATGCCAGTCGTCTCTTTATCTCAATGAGCATACAAGTATGTCAATAAAAAAATTCGAAAGCAAAAATCACTATTTTTAAATGTGAAAATAGTAATGCTCGCTTTTTCACAATTCCATAACAATTACAAATATTTGAGAAAATGCGCACCTTGATACTTACATATATTATATGGAAAGCTGGATGACTGCAAGCAAAGCAGTTCTTGTAAAAACCAGCAAGAAAATTTTATTTATATGATTTATATAGTTTTGGCCCCAGTGCTAGAACATACAAAAATAATAAAATTGTTATATACATATGTGTTATTTTTATACATAGTTTTTGTATTGAGATATTTAATTTAGTAATAAAAATAATAATTTAAATTATGAACAAACTTTTTTACCTTGCACCACATTATTTGGTGGTGTCTTCGCCTAGGTCTGTTCATAAAGTTTGCGTACCACTGTCAGTCAACAGTTATGGTAGATTTCCAAGCCAATGATGGGTTAATATCCGCATCTCCATTAATAATTATTAAATCTCGCCTACAAAAAAAGTTTTGTATTATAACTGGCCAAGATCTGTAATCAACGAAGTCGTAAATACTGTATGCCGTAGTATCTTGATAGACGTTATATCAAGACATTGATTTTACCTTCATTTCGCTGCGATTTGTCACCATGTGTACCTACCGTTGATGACACATGACATCAGAGCACAAAATATTTCTGCAAGCAATTCAAAGCTACCCAAAGTGTCATTGGGTACTCCCATAATATCCAATTGCCAAGTTCCCTAACTTAGTACCCATATACTTAGTAGAATTAGTCACTATACCAGATACTATTTTGCGGTTTCTTTATACCAACTTACTGTCAACAAAGTTCACAAAACTCGAAGTAAATTCAGAATAATCACTGTCAATATCAGTATACTATCTTTATATAAAGCTGAACTGTTTGTTTGTTCGAATCCGATAATCAAAGAACTAGTTTGAATCTAATAATTATTTTTGTGTTGGATAGTTCATTTAGGCTCATAGTGTGTTGGATAGTTCATGAAGGCTATAAACCTTAACAATACAATAAATAGGAGCCGAACAGCGGGTAAAGCCGTGCGGAAGCAACTAGTTAATAAAAACGGTTAATTTCAAAACCAACACCTCATTTGAAAGTTGATCTCTAAATAAATTGGCCTCTAATTCGGTAGTAGGTAAAGTATTGCTTTAAACTGTCAAACACCAAGCGGTCACCGGTGACCGCAACCTATTGTTCTTTAATTGTCTATAAATACGGTACTCGACGAGTTAATTCATCGACGCTTCGCAAATTCATTACAATTGGGAAAATATTACTTAGGGCCGATTTTTCTATCAACATATGTAATGCATATAAAAAAACTAACGTCTGACAGTTTTGTATGGAAGAATATTAAAATATAATTCTCCCGATAAATTTATCTTTGAAAAATTATTAAAAAAGCAAATTATTTGGACTTTACAATATTTTAATAAATAGTCCAATCATAATAATAACATTTTCATTAGGTAGTTGTTTTTACAATAAACCTGATTTTCATTTTCATAATTTTTCTAGCAATTTTTTAACATTTCATACAAAATTCTTAGACCGGTATCGATTTTGATATTTATTAGAAAATTGACTTATTTAAAAACCGAATTAGCTTTATATTGGTTAGAGGCCATTACTACTTCTAATGAGCCTATACAATGTACAAAAATAAAAACAGTAGTATTTCAATAAAATATAAGAAAACCTGTACTTACCTACATAGTGGAGATTCTCTGGCGGTGAGGTAACAATACAATATCAAACAAAAATAAATATTTCAAGCGCAAATAAAGGATATATAATTTAAATAAAACTTGCATGCACGGCAATATTTTGATTTTAAGACCTAACCTAGTCAGTTGTCGGATCTTCTTTCAAATATCAGTAATATTTTTTTGTTTTTCGTCCAGCTGTATTTCTCACTGAAATACTACATCAATAAAAATATATTCATAAAATACTTCTGGAATACTGTGGAACTATGTATACTTTGCGTTAGCCGCGAGACGCGCAGCGTCGCACACGCTGCTCATGATTATGAGCCCCGATGTGACTTTAAACCGGTAGAGCCCTTTTCGGATAGTTCTCGTAAGTAAGTGGTACGGTTCGATTAATTTAGTATGTCTTACGATACATTTATTATACAAAAATAGTTTATTTTGAATGAACCTGATACTATCAATCACGCATCTGCAAAGATCTTAGAAAAAACCGAAATAATAAAGTCCGATTCATTCGAAAGATGAAACAAACGGTAACAAACTAATATTATAAAGAGGAAATAAAATATTTGATTGTTTGAAACTAACAAACAGGGGTGGACTACCCCTAACATTTAGGGAGATGAAAAATAGATGTTGGCCGATTCTCATAGATACCGGATAAGCACAAAAAATTTCATCAAAATCGGTCAAGCCGTTTCGGAGGAGTATGACGACGAAAACTGTGACACGAGAATTTTATATATTAGATTATTTTTTATAGATTTCACTTATTTATGGTGTATCACGGTATAACTGTAGGATGATGCGTAACGAGCTGCTATGTTGTTTGAGTATTTGCTAATCGGTAGCAGAGTATCCATTTCTATTAAATTACACCTCTCAAAAAGGTTACAAAGATTATTATAAAAATACTTATATATGTTTAAAAAGCAAGCCTCAAAATAAGACAACAAACACAAAATAAAAAACAAATTTGTACCAGTACCGAGCACAAAAAGAACACCACCCGAGATTTGTTCTAACAGGGCGAGATCTATGAGCCACACCCTATAAAATAAAACTACCATGTTTATAGTAACATCTATAGATCAGTAAATAATAATATATTTGTCCCGCCATGATTAGGAAAATGAAACACAATTTGTAATGAAGTATATTTTTATTTTTTTCCTATCGCCATGCGCACCCCAGCATACAAGGCAAAAAAAAACAAATAACGTCGAGCCAATTTAGGGGGAAGGGGGACGGGGGAGGGGGGAGGGAGCGACGTTAAGAGGGTGAAAGACTGTCCCATCAATGCCTATGCAACACGCCATATACTATATATTATTGCATTTCAGAATCAGAACCTAAAGGTACTCTCCGTTTCATTAAAAATACTTTATAAGCTTGTTCAGTATCAAAAAACTTCTATTACCAAAAAATATTTGTTTTAAATAGATCGTAGCACTAACTTTAGAAACGTAATAAAACCTTTTTTCTCGTATCTACATTTAGTTTTGTAATCTACCAAAATTTTTTTTTTTTATTATCATTAGGAGCACCGACAAAGTCTAGTTCGCTTCATAGATCCGGCCCTGTGTACAGACTACACGTTCTAGAAACAGTGTGGGTCGAACCTTTTAACTTTATTTTTTGTAATAAGATAGAAAATGTATTGAAAGAAAATGATAAATTGGTATAAGTGCATATAAGTTACGGCTGAAGGTGGGTGTGACCTTAAAGTTGAGAGTAGCCGGTTAACACCTCCTCGAAGATAAACCTAAGTTTGGCCGGCTAATCTTAAGTTTATGTTCACACCCACCTTTAACCGTAACATATACAATCGGCCGAACATCGATGGTGACACAAGTTGACTGTGAATCCTTAAAGCAACATTGCATAATCGCACACCCCCAAACAACCCTCTCAAATAATATTTATACTAATATTATATAGAGGAAACATTTGTGTTTTTGTATGTATGCCTGTATGTATGCTTGTAACGTTTCCACACAAAAACTACCGGACCGACTTCAAACATTGTTTCACCATTAGAACGCTGTATTTTTACTTAGAACACAGATTATATTACATTTTGAAAAAAATCCATGTCACTATATCAAGCGCACGAAGTCGAGGGCATAAACTAGTCCAATATATAAGAAAATAAGAAGTAAGTTGTCGAACTTTTATTCAGCCATAATACCTCAGCTAATCAGCTTATAGTCTTGAGGCAGATCGTTTATTTCAAATAACAAAAAAGATTTTAGGTCCTCGACCCAATTTTGCTATTTTTAGCCAATCAAGTTATTAATATCATTAGATATTTGTAATGGCGGCCAACGGAAAAATTCGCTATAAAGTATACAACTTGAAGCGCCCACAATCGCTCGGCCGATCATACATATTGTACCAAGTTATAGGCAAACGAGTGATAATTTATCAACGCATGGAAAAAAACATGTCGCGTCATAAGGCAAAAGTCGCGAAGGGTAAAAAATGCACACATGTTTTTGAACGAGCAGTCTGCAAGTATTTTTCCAAATTCTCGGTTCACACATTTCAAACAGTACGTACATAAAACAATATTAGTTATTTTATATGATAGTGTACTTACAGCAGAGGCGTCAGCGGCCATTTGGAACAGCTCTACTGCTAGTTCAGGAGACGCTTCTTCGATAATTTTAGCTGACTTCCCGAGTATGGAAGCAGCACTGTCGCCCGAACCGTGCTGTTGGTACAGCTCTCCTGACTCCAACGCCAATCTATGCACCTGAAAATAATAAAAGCATATTAATAAAACCTTCAAAATTAGACCCTACCCATATACACAAAATGTTGTTTTAAATTGAATACGCGTTCGTTTAAAAGTATTAATTTAATAACATAACATCACGCCTTTTATCCTCAAAGGGGTAGGCAGAGGTGCACATTATACCACTGTACAATGTAACACCCACTTTTCACTATTTATGTTATGAGTCCCATGTAATAGGGGGTGAGCCTATTGCCATATACCGGGCACAGTTCCAGACTCCGTGCTACTACTGAGAATTTTTAAAAACCCAGTAATACTTTGCCCGACCCGGGAATCGAACCCGAGACCCCTTGCTCGGCAGTCGCAATTGCGACCACTCGGCCAACGAGGCAGTCATATTAATTTAATAATAGTTTAAAAATATCTACTACTTCATACTTTGAAAGCTGATATATAATGAAAAGCAAGTTTTCATTATTCAAACATGAACTGTAGACTGTCGTAGGCGACGGTAGCGACATCTGCCATTGTTTTCCCGGTCGGGGAACTACGTAAATTTGGAAAAGTTAGTAAAAACACGTCGTTTTTATAAACACTTTTCACCAGAAAACGGAAATTTTAAGTGAAAAACACCGTAACGCGTATCAAAATAAAACAACACATCACTTAAAGCCCTTTTCTCCCCGGAAAAGGCAAAGGAACACCCTCCCTATCAATAACCGAGGGCGGTCCACACTTACAATCACTCCACGAACGAAATAACTTTATAAAATTATAATTAAGTATTTTTACGGAAAGAAACTGAAACAATTAGTCTTAATTTGATATTTAAACTTTAAAATAAGTCCACTAAATGCAGTTCACAAGCGACGCGTCCGTCAACGGCGCCCGCTATCCCCAGCCTACCCTTGTAGCCAGGCCCGGCGTCTGTGCGGACCGCGCATGCGTGAGACGCTTTAGAATCAATCTTTTTGTATTATTCAGTAAATCAATATCCCCGTCCCATCGTTATTTACGACCTACGCATGTGCAAGGGGCATCAAACTACCACGCCTGTCGAGGGAAAGCACTAAAGTTCAATCCCCTTCCCCCTATCCCCCGGTAAAACTCGTGTAACGCCTCTAGTGTTGCGGGTGTAGATTGTTCAATATAAGGATGTTCGGTGTGATATTATGATGCGTCTGTTAGTTTGTCACCCTATCTTTATGTCCCAGTGGTTAGCTGTATTCTCATACACCCTACATAATGCATAGGTAATACACGTGCACAATAGAACACATATGTTTAACACTTTTCAGATTATCAATCAATATCATCACGCGTTTTATCCGTGAAGTGGTAGGCAGAGGTGCATATTACTGCACGTAATGCCACTGTACAATGTAACACCCACTTTGTACTATTTATGTTATGATGAGACCCATGTTTTAGGTACACCTAATACAGGGTGAGCCTATTGCCATATGACTAGGACACTATTCCAGACTCCGTGCTGTTACTGAGATTTTTCTAAACAAACCAGTAATACTTATATCGACCCGGGAACCGAACCCTAAACCTACCAACGAGGCAGTCAGATTACTATATTATTATTATCATGTTAATCATTTAGGTAAATTGTTTTGTAGGTTATATTTAAGTCACGGCCACGTGGACTATAATTCACCAAGTCAGTAACAAAATTATATGAAAAATGTCGTAAGATATTGGAACTATACATCAGATAATCTCAAAGCTCTCAAACAAGGTTGTGTGATCAACTAGTCAAAACGCGTAACACTACGGATGGTTGAACGGAAGAAGTTGCCTTTGTTCACATTGTGTCACGTCAAATGCTCGTAATTGACGTGACGTGACTCACCTCAGTGTTCATGTGAACATCAGTTACGTTTATGCCGTAAACCGTGAACGTATCATTTTAATTTGTTTGAATTTATTGTCTGATATTTAATAAACGGTTTAAGCCGCTCTACGATTTTTTCTCAGGAGCGATTAAGCATTCTATTTTATTGTTTTAAAATTAATCGGGCACAAAACCGCAACTGCGATCATTTGTAAACTTTATAAACTTGTATGCTTAAAAACCACTGCGTGTAACTGCCCTTCAACGGGAGATAAAACGCATGGTAGTATATACAATCAAAACCATTTCATTTCATATCTATCTCCCTACCTACAAGCGTACATACGCCGACGCCCGGCGTCGCGCGGGGTCCGAAGCGTCCGCGGGGATCGCGAGGAGAACGGGGATCTGTGTATTGTATACCCTTACAGCTACATCAACAGCCGATATATGTATCGGCTAGTGAGGGGAAGGGTAACTGTCACCCCATGTCACCCCATTTTGTATTTAATTAAAGCAAAGGGGACCGAATCGTCTGCGTTTGTTTCCTTATAGAACACTGGGTCTAGATAAAAGTATAAATTTACGGTTCTAAACCTTATTAATAATTGAAATTGAAATTATATACTTGTAAAGAAACCTTCAAAAACAAACCATCACATTAGCTGGCCCGTAGCAACAGTAGGTCATCGAAACAACAAAATAGGAAGACCTACACGCTACTTGAGCATACAAACAAAATTATTGTTACACTCGAAACCCTCTTACAATAGGTTTATTGTGTTTGTAAATCAGTCAAGCGAATTTCAAGTAGCAACAATTGGAATAATATTTAAGTAGCGACCCAAATATTGAGGATTGGACGCAAATATGGAAAAACATTGTTGAAAAATTAATTCTTTGGGGTTCATTGTTACTAAGGTGTATTAGACATAGACGTGTGGTAACAACCGAATAGAATGCATTGGTCACTCACTACCCGCGGTGTAGTAAGAGTTGACTAAGAGTACACACAACACAACGCTCTTTGATAAACTTGTAAGTTTTAACTGCGATCTCTAACTCAAGCGTGAAAATTTTGACAAATGTTCCCTCCAATGTAGGTAAATCCCAGCGCAGTACAGCAGACAACTATCACAGGCTGTTGACTGAACGCACTAAAATCGTGTGTCAAATAAGACTGTTCCTAGTAATAAAAGTAAATCGCCTCCCTGTACGGACAAAGTCAATGTTACGTAATAAAAAATCACGTCTTTTATTCTACTAACAATTAGGTTAGAGGCGCGTAACACGTTAAACGCCATGGCAGTCACCGGTGACCGACATTAGCGGAGGATTTGCCTTCAACAGTTTTTTATTGGCAGCCAATGCCTTAACTATATTAAAGTTATCGCTCATTAAAGCCACACTCGATCAGCATCGCCGCGCCGTTCGGTGGCAACTCGTTGTCAACAGGTGGTCAACGGGTCGACGACGCATGATCAACGAGTAAACATTGCGTCATTCGCGGGCACCGCTAGGTTCGCGCAAGGCAAGCGGGCGAGCAGCGAGTTATCAACGCGAGGGACACCCGTCGTCCGCGCGTGGTCAGGTCAGCGAGCGAAGCAATCGTCGGTATGTAATGAGCGCGTATAAAACGAAGTTCATGTAAAGTAAACTAACCGCTCAAAGCGAGGCGGTGCTGGTCTAAATGACTCTAATGAGCTGTAACTGTTAAATATGTCATACACAAGTCCATTGTACACGTAACACAAACTTTTTCAAAAACAAATTGCAAATATACTTTGGCCTACTCAGGCAGCAAAATCAAGATCCTTTTCCCCAGTCACACTTGCGACCACGTCTACAATGAGACAGACAAAATTAATCAGCAAGTTTAATTAAGTTATATTTCTACATAACAACATCACGCCTATCCCCGAAGGGGTAGGCAGAGGTGTACATTACAACACTTAATGCCACTGTACAATGTAACACGCACATTTCACTATTTATGCTGTCAGTCCCATGTAATAGGGGATGAGCCTATTGCCATATACCGGGCACAATTCCAGACTCCGTGCTACTACTGAGAATTTCTTTGAAAATCAAGTAAAACATTTCCCGACCCGGAAATCGAACCCGAAACCCCTTACCCGGCAGTCGCACTTGCAACCACTCGGCCAACGAGGTAACATTACTAAATAACGGAATAAACCACCAATTGCTGTAATACCATAATTTATAAAAATAGAAAGGCCTAAAAACAACTTTCATATAATTAGACATCAAAAAACAATTAACGATCACCCAATTAAACAGTAATTTCTCAGAATCAGTTACTAAAGACATAAACACCGTCTATAATAATAACGGAATCTACATATGTCATCCATGCATGGTAACGGTACCCAATACGCCATAATAATTGCGAAAACACACGCGACATGCCACAAACATACATGTGTATTGCACGTGTAATTTGGTCACTATGTAGTCTGCGAAATGAGTCCCCGAGTCGGGCCCCACGACCCCACAGCACCCCTTCACAAATCTCTTTGTTTCACCTTCGGGACGTGGGCGGTCCTGACAAGCCCGTCAGATTGTGTATAATGTTAAAGACATGTATTCATTATTAATGAGCTTTGTAAGGGCATAACTCCTCCACATTGAGTTGACATAAATCAATAGGTGAAGGATTAAAATAAGTTCACCGTCAAACCGATCTACATAACATACATACTGTCTAATTGCGTTATAACATTTCCAACTTTATTGTTTTGTTTCAAAGTTTAATTTGAAAAACATAGCTTGCTGGTAGTATAGCTGGTATACGGTTTAAAATACTGTCTTTTATCCTCCGAGGAGGTAGTATAAGATAAATTTATACAATATGAAGTTCACTATTCAAACATGTTACGAGTCCTTATCGAGTCTACACCCTACCACATAACCCACGTAACTAATTACGCTACTAAGAATTTTCGAACAGCCCAAAAAATCAATCAAAACTTAGCCCCATTCGGAAATAGAATCTGACACTTCTTGAGCTTGCAACTACTCGCTAACAAAGCAGACCTATGACATTCGCATTACAAAAATAGTCTGAAAGTACGTCTTCGTCGAATAAAATAACTTTAGTTAGGTAGGTACTAGGTTTAACCAACACTAAGAAAACAATAATTTATCATCA